GAGGAGTCGAGGGAACCCGCGACCGGTAACGGAGGGGAGCCGCGGAGCGGGGTCTGGGCACAGCCAGCCTGCGCCCTTGCCCGTGGACTGCCTCTCTGCTCGGGGTTGTCTAAATATATGTAGGAATCGGTGTTTTCCTAAGGAAATTCTTGGGTAAAGCATTTGCAAGGCGCCTAATACAAGTTTAACCCCATTTTGTTTGGATGGGAGTTGCTCTGTGGCTGGGATAAAAATGGAATAACTGGTTTACTAAATTGCAACCTAAAATTTTTCTCCATGATGTTTACACACAGGCATGACAAACCTAACTGTTGATCCCAAATCGGTGATTTGAGAAGAAATACAAAAATGCACATTTTTTTCCTGCATTTTTGAATGCATGTGCCTGTGCTACAGAGGTAACGCTCTGCGTACAACCCGATTTCCATTTTGGTGTGTATGCACCTGCATAGCTCCTTCGTACCTCTGCTTGCTGGCCGAAAGTCAGAGGAAGGCAGTAAACTACGGCACAGGGCTGTCTTTCCCTTACTAGTAGTGTGACCCCTTTTTATCATTTATTGTTTATTTTCCACATACCCTTACAGGGATGCACTGAATGCAGCATGGATTTTTTACCTAAAACTTCAACTTCCATTTTCTTGTTGTCTGACCTTTTTGGGCGGTTTTTTTTTTCTGTCAGAGTTGCTTATGTTTTTCAGGCAGTGTTGAAAAAGTGACTTATCAGTCTTAGATATTTTTCTCATCTAGGACTTCTTCTCTTGATTTTTAGGTGACAATATCAGAGAGTTCTTGCTGAGTCTCAGATATTTTCGAATCTTCATTGCCTTGTGGAATGTCTTCATGATGTTCTGCATGATTGTGTAAGTGTCACTACGCAGCAACTTGTCATTTGTTTATAGGAAGTCATACATGTTGGGATTTTTTTCTTGCCCATATATTTCTTTTCGGATCCCTTTCTCTCCCACTCTATTGTTCCATAATTCCTTTTCATTTCACTTGTTTATTTCAAGCTTCAAAGAGACGTTGGTTGACTCACAGTTTTTTGCTAAAACTGTGGGCACCGGTAGTGCATGAAAACCTCCTCTGCCAGCGTGTGAGTCATTTAGCCTTAGATACAGTGTTCCTTGTTGCAGGTTGCTTAAATAAAACATCATTTGAGTCAGCATTTCAGTTTAACTTTTGGGATGTTTTTCATTTGGGGGCGGAGGGGGGAAGCCCACCAAGTAATCGAATGGAATCGGCCTTGAGAATAGTCTCTGGAAACAACAGGTTTTAGTTCTGATAGGCAGGCTAGCAAGCTGCTTTCATTTCACTTACGTAGCTATATGGTCTGATGTATGGGGAAACAAAACCGATGGCCAGATGTGCACTGGTGGTGTGAATTGGAAGGGCATTGGCATGACTGTTCACAGTTGCACCTGGTTCTCATCTACTTTTTTTCTGTTGCATCCACTAGGTTATTTGGATCTTGAAAGTCATCCACAAACATGCCTGTTAACTTGGAAGAGACTTTTGGCTGGAAACATAACTTTTCTATAAAGTAAAAGATTATGATGCTTTCAAAATACAGCCCTGGGATTGTGGCCTGTTTTTCGGTGCAAGCTCCTGACACGCTGAAGGGACAGGACACGTTCATCCTCTTCAGCCAGTTGTGTAATAATACGGCGCGTGCTGGCTCGCTTGCTGCCGAGGGGATTGAGCCTTTAGGCCCCTGAGCCAAAATCTTCAAAGTAATATTAATTTCAACCTTACTGAAATAAAGAGAACTTTAAATTGTTTTGCTAGGCTTAGAGTGCAGTGCCCAGTATGCAGGGTAGAATTGGAGCATGACTGAAGACCACAGTCTTAAACCTCTCCATTGTTAGTCACTCCCAGCTCTGGATCTGTCTGCTAACGTCACCACTGTCTAGGTTACTTGGAAGTCACGCTTTTTGATTCTCATTTTTATAAAGTTGAGCAAAGTATTGGTGTAACTTCTCACTATTCCATTTAGTTTTGTTGGAGAAATAGAAAAGGATGATTAAAGAAAATGGGATTCTCACCTTCCCACTGTTTTTCCAAAAAAATGCTTTGTAAATTAAATTTCAAAGATAAGATTTTTTTTTCTAAGCAATATGTAAGGGATTTTGAATAGGTAAAATAGCAAAAAAAAATTCTATAAGCCAATGCTAAGGAATAGCTTTGCAATAATCTTGGGTTTGGTTGAATAAAGTTGTTCTATTTAAGGGTAAAATATGTATTTGATGCCATCTTCATTCTGTTACAGAAGAAACCAGTGTTAGTGTGTTTTGAGAAATTGTAACTGCTCTTGTAATTGTCTCTGGATTCTTGTGTTATTTTTATTTATGTTAAGTTAGCCCCTTTCACCAGCAGCTTTTCCCCAGCATCACCAAGATAAGTTAAGAGGGAGTGCAGTGCTGGCTATCTTTTAAATCAAACTGTCAACTATTAACGGAGCTTCCTCGGCTTCAGAGTCTTTAGCTGTCTGACTGTTGAGGAGGAGAGAGAGGCCTCATCTAAATGATCCTGAGGCTTGGGTTTTAGCGAATACCTTGAATTTTATCTGGATGCAGTCAGGTAGTCAGACCAACGTGTTGGGGACTCGCAGCAATTTACTCGAGTCACCCTCTTTTGCATTAAGTGAAGTTTTTGTGTTAGTGAAACATGAACTACCCTTCCCATTTCCGTTCTTTTGGGGAAGGATCGTTTGAGGGGAGATGGCTCGCTGTAACAAACAGGAAAACATATGGAGGAAAGGATCCTTCACGCGTGGTTTGAACTGTCCAGAAAAACTTACAATCCTCGGTTATATTTAAACATATTCCTTGCCTTGTCTGTAATTTCTGTGTGTTATATTTTAACCTTTTTCTAATTCTTTCGAATGAGCAAAAAAATGTAGCATGTTGCCCTGTCATGGCATCCAAACAAAATCCAGTGCTTTATATAGTTCTTGGAAAACATTTTCTCCCTAATCTTCATTAAACCAAGTCTTCCCCTGGAATGCAAAGATTGGGAGCAGCCCTCACCGTCTGTGCGTGACCCGCTGGAGTCGCCTGGACTCCGCACTGCAGTGCTCGGGCTCCCTTTTGGACACGGGGGGGTGGGGGGGTGTTTGAATTCTTACTCGGAAAAATGGTTGATCCTGTGCAGAACTGACAGTCTGTTTTCTGAGGAATGCTTTGAATATGGGAAGTAGAGGAGGATCAAGCTCTGCTGGTAAAGGAAAACGGACAATTTTATCACTCTAAATAGATCATGTGGCTTAATAGCATGCTTTCACCGCAAGATTTCAGTTGTTCAAATGAATAAAAGTTGTCATTCAGCTCCTAAGCAGATGCTTTAAAAATCAGTAGTTGCATTTTCAGCTGCTCTTAAATGCTTTGCACAAAGTTGAAATGCTGGGCTGATTGCTTACCCAGTGTGGTGCAGGATGCCTTTCACTGTAAGCTTTTTGTTGTACAGCTGCTTTTGTACCTAGTCCATTTTTGTATTACAAGCTCCTGAAAACCTCACTTGCTTTTTACTTGTGCTTTCTTCTGAATCAAGGAGAAAAGATAAATGAGAAGGAAAATACATGTGCATAAAGAAATACTTGTTCAGTTTTTGTACGGTTAACTGTTTCCAGATAATGGCTGGAAGTTTGTGATTGTTGCCTCACCCATTATTTTGAAAATAATGACAACGTTAACTTCTGGCGCTTGGCAAAAAAACTTTTAATCATCATCATTTTTTTCCAGAACGTGCCGGACTTTCCACAAGCGAAAGGACCGCATTACCGTCCTGCGAGCCTGAGACAAGGCACGTACCACTGCGTTACGCCTGCAACGTCCGAGTAGCGATGGCTGAATTCCC